CCGTCTCTTCGCGTGGTAGTGAAAATGTGTGGTGGCCATCCAGTTGGCCGATCTGGCCCTCGTGGCGTGCGCCTAGGACCTCTGCGATATGGGAGGGGGAGGTGGTATCGTCAAGGTGGAGGGCGAAGAAGTCGCGGGTCTCTTGAGAGCGGGGATGGAGGTTTGCGGACACGGCACCGGCAAGGCCCAGGGTGACGGCGATACCACTGACAATGTGCATGATGAGGAATCAATTGGTTTGGAGGAAAGGAATCAAGGGAGAGTGAGGTTCGAGGTATCTAGCAGGCGGGTGCCATCGACAGTTCCAGACTGTTGAATAATGACTCGATGAGTTGTAAGGTGTATAATCGGACAAAGAGGAAGTAAGCTCCAAGATGCTATTCCTATGGTTCCAATAATAAGTTGGTAAAGAGGAGGTTGGAACAATGTGAGATACAAAGTTTCTAGGCAAAATAGGAGGATCGCCAGAGGCCACCCACACGGAATCCTATTGAGTCTTGATCGAGACTTTATTCGTAGGTTTTTTTTTTTTCTTTATATCTGATCAAAGGATTTTTGGAGTGTTATAAGGCCACGGTTTCAACTTATTCCGTATTCATATTTCATACCTATCATAGGTGTCCAGATGCACACATGCCCAGGCTTATTATTTAGTTACGTAGGGGAGTGGACCCCCCTCCCGCCGACATCAACATGTGTTCTACGGGGTATAGAATACTCCAGTATCCGTATGTTGTACTAAGTATTATTGGAATTCATGGCTCGACTACGAATTGTTATTCCATCAATCCATGTAGGTATTCACTAGGGATCAACTTGAAAAGGTCCTTCATGAAATTGACTTGGTTTTCCCTTTTCACTTGAACCTCTTGCCGCTTTATTCTAGGTAGAATTGAGCATGATCTGGAGTTACATTATAGCCTGACTCGGACTGAAATTTACTCAGCATTAAAAGCGGCGCTCGACACCTAAAATAGGTCAACAAAACATCGACACATGTACTTGCTACTCTGAGTATACCATTGAAATGTTAATTATGTGCGATATTTATGTTCTAAGTAACTAAATTTTTAAGTGAATCATAGGTTCCAAGTATCTAGGGACTTCTTTTATGTATACATGTATGCATATTACGTAGGCATTCCGCAGATTCTAACAATAGCTCATTCCAGTACCCGTGCCAAACTTAAGACTCGTTTATGCTTAATTCTACTTTATTTCTATACTTCGATATTCCTAATTTTTTATACCCGAATTATACTTATGTCTACCGGATTTCCCCTAACGGGTGGTCCTTTTAGGCTGCTGCCGCTTTAATGAGGGCGCGCTCAGACTCAGGCCCCGGCTCTCAGAGTAGATATCAGCACGAGCTCAGAGCCAGCGGTGAGCTCAGACTAGTCACGTGCATGATGATTGACTGTATGCCTCCCGAGGTCGGGGCCATAGATTAGCCAGGAGGCCTGCAATCGGTCTTACCTACAACATACATCCATAGCAACCAACCACTCTCATTCCATCAATCTTTATCAAACACCAGCTCTATAGTTCTAGCATAACCCCCAGGAGACAACTCTCAATGCCATATATCTTCTTTGCTGCACTTTGCACTTCTACTTATTGCTCATGTTGTGCTTAGTGAAGAATTCGTTTCACCGGCTGTAGCGAGACCTGCTTCTGTGCCTGGCTCCATTTACACTGGCAGACACCAAAAACCGTTTAATGGAAAATGAAAACATAATACGCGGTAGAACTCCTCAATTTCCTCAAAGCACCTGGCCCGATCCGGCGAGCTTGGTATCGGCTGTAACTCCGGAGCGGCCCGCAGCCCTAACTGGTCCTGAGACTCCTCTGAATTCCAAGGTTCTCTTTTCATAAGGTACAAGAATAGTTGGCCGCATAAGCAGCATTGTGATGTCTTTTCGGTGGGTTTTTTTTGTGGTCTTTTCAAGTATTCCCTTTATATGTCTTGTTAGTCAGTTATGTTAGCGGCGAAAAAAAGGCTTGATTTATAAAATGGACTTTTAGAAGTAGGTACATATAGCCTTTGGCTTCTGCTTTTCTATTTAGAAAAATATTGCTGAAACCCTTGCTCCATAAACTAAGAGTTTTATTATTAGTTAATCAGGCTGAGTGTTGATTTATGGGGCTAAAACTTCACCACAGTTCTTGCGGTCCATTTGCGTATTATTGCCCCCTTATGTAGAGCACCGGGCACAGCACTCCACTAAGAGGCTCACTAAGCGACATATAAAGGGCTAAGCTCATGCTCATGCCCATGCCCAGGTACCCAGGTGCCCAGCATGCTCAAGACTGTCCGTTTCCTACTACTGCGCTTCACGGTATCCTTAGTTTCCTCGCAGGAAAACCCCAAAGACCAGGACGGCTTGAAACTGAAGGAAACTACCGCAGTACCTACTATGCCCGAACAAAGAATTATCCACCAACACTCGGCCGTGTTACACTCCGAAGTAGCTCGAATGCATTGATTCGCCGTGGCGTTTCTATTCTGAATGATCTACTTATTTCTGACACGGTGCCATCCGGATTCGGAACCGAAGATGGAAGGTTTTTCGATTTGGGCCCGGAATCGGGCGCGACGAAGGGGGAGTATCGAGAATTTAGTCAGTGGCTCTCGGAAGTGTCGGTAGCAGGACAGACGTATGAGGTGCCGGAGAAGTGGGTTGAAGTTTGAGAAGCCGGCGAAGATTTCAATTATGAGAGCAAGGATAGGCCATGATCTGTCAATTTAATTAAGAGTCGTCTATATCTGCTAGTGTACTCAGAGTCAGATCATAGCTCAGCGGACAGAGTGCTCCAGAGCAGCGTTGATGATATCTAAAATGCCTATGTCCAATAGCATGAGCGCATCCGGAAGGCGTATAATGAAATAGTGGACATTCTGGATGCTCCGGGAACTATAATTTGCACTTGATATCGTATAGACATCTCTGTTTCTTTTGTCTCCCGGAAATGATGCCACGGGAAAGAATTGGACAATCCCATGGTAACCATGATGCTTAGAATCCTAACCAGGAATCATATTCGGTGACCGGTTTCTCCACTGAAGGTATAGGATGGGAATAGGTATAGATATATGAAATCACTTTATAAGAACTTCTAAGCTTTTGGAATCTCCCAACTAAGCGGGTACTTTGAAAGTACCAGGCCAAACCGTTAAGCTACGAGGCTGGGGGGCGCTCCTGGATGTCTGGTCTCTAACTTCATTTTAACATTACTTCTTTTTTAACTATTTCTAGTGACCTGATTAGGAGGATCCTTCTCAGCCAAGTGAGGTAACCATGAAGCTATTCAGAGTGAGGTCATATGCCTCAAGCTATCCCTACCCTCATGGTTGCTGAACCTATTCTAGGCTTCTCTCATGTAATTCCTTCGAATTTATATTGAACAGGCGCCACACAATGACTCCCCTTTCCCCGTCCCCGAAAATAAAGGATGTTGTGGTCAACATCCTACATACGTTGAGGTCGATCTACCATGCAAATCTCACTAATACTAGAATTCAGCGCCTAGGAGTCTCCATTGGGAATTCTAATCCGAACAACGAAGATGACCCCCACGATGATTCTTGGGCCGCGAGACGCAATGGCTTTTCAAGCCTATTTCTAAGAAGGACATCAAACAGTGGAAGATCTCAGCTTTTGAGGCTAAGGTGGTGCAAAGCAGCCTGAGTATCCCAGACTTTGTTCCTGCGTCGCAGCATCAGCCTAAATGGGATGTCACAATCGCTACACAAGAGGTGCTCTACTTCGTCACGGCGCAGTTCGACTTTCGCAGCAAATCTAAGACTCGCCTAAGGGAGACATTCGGGTGGAGTGATATTGAGTTAGTGCATATTTATCATTCTATATAAAGGGTAGTCAACCAATAACGTATAGTTTTGAGGAGTTCTCTGGCGGCAGTATAGGATTGCTTTTTACGTTCCTTCGATTCACAGCGTCCTATCCACCCGAGATAACAAATCCCGCATTTTCGCGTCTGTGGCGTGCGACGCCCTCTCAGAGACCCATAAACCTCTCCCCTAACACGCTAGATAATAAATAAGCATTGGGTCTTTGGAAGTTCTTGAAGTTATACAATAAACAGGTCGTGCTCAATGAGCAAGTCGGAGCGCTGCGGTCATGATCGGTGAGCGGGCGAGTTATTGAGCTTATGTAATGGACAGGTGATGCCCACCTGGCCGCTCGTTTAAAGCATAGTGGGCCGCATACTCCTTAAAGCGGTCTTGTTATGTCTTTTCAGCTGTCTTCTCAGATATCATTCTATTTAGACAGGTCGACGGGGGAAAAAGTTCGAAAAAGGCTTCGTGAAATGAATCTTTGATCAGCAGTACTACTGAGCCAAAAGCGGCAAGGAGTGCTAAAGAAAGGGAAAGCCATGTCCTAAAACCCGGTGTATATATAATTCTGCATAAGTAGGGACATGGTAGGTACTATATTTAGCGGTATATACTTGGTAGGCTTGCTATTTCGAACTTGTATTATTGCTCGACTCCGTAAGGATCGAAGCCCTTGACACAGCCTTCGTATGACAGCCCCGCGCGAAGGCTGGGGATAACCAGCCACCGGGATATCGGAGGTATAGACCTTGCCTTTTCGATTTGTTGGATTTTATTGAAATCGTTTTTTCCTCTTTTCTTTTGTTTTCATCTTCTACCATCTCACATCCTTGCGTTTATCCTTTTATACAGCCCATTTTCTCTGTCACCGCCGTGTATACCCCCCGCCTAACATTGGCTTGTTCCCTGCGAATCGGCCCAGGCCATAGTATGGTGACCCTGCGTTAGGCATCAGAGTTGCATTAAACCCGTTTCATCTATTTCGAGAAAGACTACGTACGGAAATTTCCCCTAAAACTGCTCAGGTTGCCTTTCGGACCGACATTAACGATAGTTCCAGCTCGATTCGCAATTGCACATACTTGGTACCCTATCTACGCATCTTTCCAATTTATTTTGAGTTTGAGCGCAAATACACAGCATCATGGCTGCTACGGCAATGCGTGGATCGCCCGATATGGCAAACGGCAGTTCCAACCCCCACATTGCCAACGGAGCGCAAAGAGCTTCGGGAAGACGTAATCGCAAAAACGCTTCTTCCGCAGAAAGCTACGAACACGAGGAATGTGATGACCCAAAGACACCCCACAGACGGGATGCCCATCCGTCAGGGCAGCTAGACAGGTCTTTTTCGGCCAGAGCCCGAAACCAGCCCGAGGGAAACCTGAACTATACAACCGGCAAGCCAGTTCCTTCATCGACAGAAGAGTTGTTAGAGGAATCTACCACACCGCGAGGTCTTCCCACACAGCCCTATTCTCCAAAACCCAGCGTAGACATGCCTGAGATTCATGTCCAATCACCAACTTCGCCCCCGACTCGGTCCAACACCACCCGCTCGGTCTCCGCCAGTGACTCGCGACGAAATTGGGCACCAGAAAGGTCGCCTCTTCAAAAGTTGGAAGTAACTTTGACTGGAATCAGCAAGGAAGAGAAGCGGGCACGAGTACAGCAGGCGGAAATCAAAGCCCGGGAGCGAATTGCGCGCAAGAAAGCCGAGCAAGAAAAAGCTGAATTAATGGCAGCAGCGGCTCGCGAAGCATCAGCCCAGCACGTTCAGCCAGGAAGTCAACCACCCGCCGGTGAAGCCAGAAGGAACGAGGGAAGAGACATTCCAATTGGGGATGGCATAGGAAATGGGCATGCGGCTGCACCACCACAGCAGCGACAACCAGAAAGCACAGCTGTTCGTCACAGCAGGACAGTTTCAACAAATCCTCAATATACATCTACCCGCAGCCTCGAGGATCCCCAATATACAAGTGCAGAAGCCGCTATCCCGTCATCAGCTAAGATAGGCAATGTGCCTAGACGATCAGTCACAGTGAGCGGACCCGCGGCGAAACAAGCACGTCCCAGCAACATCAGCCACAGTCGCTCGATGTCTCAAGCAGGTCCTCGGCCTATGCAGGCTCCTTCTGCCCTAAGGGCGGAGACGACAAATGAACTTTTAACAGCACCCCATGCCCCTCAGGATAGCGCCGAGTCGCAGGTCAAGCCCAAGAAACAGTCCGTCTCATTCAATGTTCCACCACCTACACCCCCACCAATCTTCGAGTGGAGGAATGCACAGCCTGCTCGGCTTGCGGCCCCTGACTTCGATTTCCAGAATATTGATATGGATCGCAGCAAAGCGTGGTGGGAGGGTGGTGGCAACAATGATCGCAGAAAGAGCAGGGCTCTTCCTAAGAACTACAAGTCTCCTGCTCAGAAGTCGACAGGTAAGTTTCTCCGCTTCCAAGCTACATTTTTGTTACAAAATCACCAAAATGTATTACTAACGCCTACCAGGAGCGACCGACCACAAGAGCTTCCAACCCAACCTCTTCTTGCGATGTGGGCCTTTGCTACGATACACAGGCATTAAGCGAGTTCAGGTTGATGGAGCCAGTGGCCCCATTTACAAAGAGATATGGCGAGGCTCTGTCATGGTAGTGACTAAAGATTCTCGCTCCTCCTACGATGCTCCACCTACGCTAAGACTATTCTCTCAGCCGATGGATCTTCTCCCTCCTCCGCCCGTGGTGATCAGCCGTGAAGATGGAATGCAGTTGGCTCCTGAATATGTCGACCCAACAGCCGGGCTCATGAAAGTTGGCCGTGATGGACGACCCCTTTACGTGAAGCCAGTGGAACATGTCGAGGAACAAGTCGACTTATCATTTGTCGAGAACGAGGATGGCATCTACGAGCTCTCACCTAGCATGATCGACTATACTAGCGAAGGCATCAAACAACCTATGCCTTCCAACCGGATGCATGCCGTCGACGGCGAGACGGAGAGTCTGCACCGAGACATCCCAGGAGCCCGTCTGTACGCGGATGCCGCAAGAGATGTAACATTCTGGCGGTTTAACTTAGAGGTTGAGCTCAGTACAGCTCAACAGCGAATCGCCTATCGGATCAACCAGGGACCTGCCTTGGGCTTCTGGGTACCCCCCGCGGGAGAAGCGATGAACATAATGTTCCACAGTGGTAACGGGTTCAGCCCCTCTGTGGACTCTGATCGAGTCTGCGGGCCGGACCCGCTTTGGCGAGATATCCTGAATGAGCATCAGACTCGTCCGTTCCATGTGATGATCGGTGGAGGCGACCAAATCTTCAATGACTCGGTTATCACAGAGTCAACGTTCTTCCAAGAATGGATTAAAATTAAAAATGCTGCCGACAGATATGGGGCGTCATTCTCACCCGAGTTCCGTGCTGAATTGGAACAGTTCTACCTCGAGCACTATGCTGCGTGGTTCTCCCAAGGCCTCTTCTCGTTGGCGAACTCTCAGATTCCCACGGTCAACATTTGGAACGACCATGAGATCTTTGAAGGCTTTGGCTCTTACCACAACGATTTCATGCAGAGTTCTGTTATCTCCGGAATTGGAAAGATTGCTTTCAAGTATTACATGCTGTTCCAGCACCACAGTGTCCCCGACGAAACCGAGGCAGATGAACCCAGCTGGCTCCTCGGTGCTCATCCCGGTCCATATATTGAGCAGAAAAGCCGAAACCTGTTCATGTCTCTTGGCCAAGGAGTGTCATTCTTGGGTCTTGACTGCCGCACTGAGCGACGGGTATGATTACTCTAAGTTTCCAACCTATGAACTATACTGACATGTCTTGCAGAGCAATGAGGTTCTCAGCGAAGAGACTTGTGATTTGTTGTGGGACCGCTGCCACAGGGAGATAATGAAAGGAGAGACAAAGCATTTGATCGTTCTTTCAAGTGTCCCTGTTGCTTACCCTCGAGTGGTATGTGATCCAATTTCTTCTGTCTTTCATCAGACATCGAACTAACGTTGACTCTAGGCAATGCTCCGTAATTTCATGAACAGTCGCAAGTCACTCGGCAAGGCCGGAGTACTCGGTGGACTTGTAAATCGATCTGGCGGAAATGTGGAGGTCTTTGATGACCATTGGGCAGGCAAACATCTCAAGTCCGAGCGCACATGGTTGGTTGAGGATCTTCAGGATCTAGCCGCAGAGAAGTCAGTACGAATTACAATACTCAGGTAAGACCAGACAATTGCTTAACAGCAACCCAGATTTCAAAGAATAAAAACTAACCTAATCCTTCAGTGGCGATGTCCACCTCGCGGCAATTGGGCAGTTCTATTCGAATCCCAAATTGAATATACCCAAAGACCAGGATTATCGATACATGCCGAATGTTATCTCGTCTGCTATTGCAGACATTCCGGAGGCCGATCTCATTGCGGATATGCTCAACAAGCGGAATACAGTCCACCACATGGACTCGAACACAGACGAAGATGTCGTTCCCATCTTTTCCCAGGATGTGAACGGCAAGGCCCGGAACAATAAACGATTACTACCTCGACGAAACTGGTGTTCCATCCGTGAGTATCAGCCCGGATCCACTCCACCAGATACACCTGAGTCAGAGATTATCGAGGCCCCGGAACCTAGGCCAAATAAGCTGCAGCGAACATTGTCACTGGGTCGTGGAGACAAGGGGTCTACCGGGAAGCCTGGTATTCTCAGGCGTCTCTCCACCCGTGGGCCACCTCCTACGAGAACTATGAGTTTCAATCGAGGCGATGAGGCTGCTTTCAATCGACGTGCAAGTGTTGATGGGCCCTCCCAGCCCCACGAGAACGGGGACAGCTATTTCCCAAGAACTGGGGCTGAGGCGCCCCCACGGCCTGGTAATTTCCACCGGCGACCAACAAATCTTAGCCAAAAAGCGGCAAAGAAGGCCGCCAAGCAGGGCGATGACGGCGCAGGCGCGTACATCAACCTCGAAGGTGGGCTCGCCATCACTTTGAACCTAGAAATTAGCCCACAAGACCCATCGGGTGTCACCACACCCTACAAATTGCTCGTTCCAGCACTGCATTACAACGGGACCGAGTATGACCCGCCCCCAGCACAAATTGTCAAGGGCTGGAGAAAGTTCCTGCCCCGCCGCAAAAAGAATGAGGGGGAATCAGATGCACGGCCTGAAGCAGAAGAAGATTACAGTGATGACGACGAACAAGACGATTACGAGGACTATGACCTTATCAATAATACCCGCGCTAACGCCGCCACTAGCCAACAACATCAACCACAGTACGAGGGATATCCTGGGAGTGAAGAGGAGGATGACTATTCTGAGAGCGAGGTCCCTCAACGTCTACCACCGCAGATGATTGCCGACCACTCACCCAGTCCTGAAGAGTCTAACCGTCCACGAAAGAAGAAGTGGTTCGGCGTGATTTAATGTACTATATTGACATTAGTGTCATTGACGTTGGCTGTGACATATTTCTTTTTGTTGATGATTTGTATTATGTTTATTCAACAGATGATTCCCCTCAACCCAGCGAGGTTCAATCGAACATGCTTTTATTCTATCAATATCTCCCTCAACTATACAAATTTCCTCATTCAGCCGATGGTGTGATATGATTACATCAGCGGTCTCGACCTGTCACGTGATATATGCTTAGAAAGCCTGAGCCTCGATTCTCAACCTGATTCAGCTTGAATTGCATTGAAATTGCCATAAATTGCCTAGTTTAGACGAATTATCCGAAATCTCTTGTGATTTGGACACAGAAAGACAAAGAATCCAATCGCATCTCTGTTTTTGAGGGTCCAGTCTCTTCTGATCTTGCCGGTTTATCAATCAACTTCACCTAATAATCCCGGTCTCCACTGCCCCTCCGAGAAAAAGATATTATAACTCCCCTCCCTCTCTTCTTCCCCTCTTCCCATAAACACCTTCAAGCTGTTTTCCTCCGCCTTTCGTCGTTTTCCCTCCCTTCGATCCATTGGATTGACTGCCGCTGCGGCCACTACCGTTCACCAACAATCTCCTCCTCCGGCCTCGGTCTTCTCTAAATCGTTCCCGACGCCGTTGCGCGTCAATTCCAATACCGCCAGAATGGTGCACTCTAAAGTAGTCAGTAAGTGGTTGCTTAGGATTGAATGATCCTTATTACCCCCATTCCTCCCATATCAGAGTTCTAACCACTTCCCCAAAAAGTTATCGGCTCCGGCCCTGGTGCCCACACTGCCGCTATCTATCTCTCTCGCGCAGAGCTCCAGCCAGTCCTCTACGAGGGCATGCTCGCCAACGGCACCGCCGCCGGTGGTCAGCTCACTACGACCACCGACGTCGAGAACTTCCCCGGATTCCCCAACGGCATCGGCGGCGCCGAGCTCATGGACAACATGCGCGCTCAATCCGAGCGCTTCGGTACCGAGATCATCACCGAGACCATCTCCAGGCTTGACCTCTCCTCCCGGCCCTTCAAGATGTGGACCGAGTGGAACGACGACGAGGGCAGCGAGCCCGTCCGCACCGCTGACGCCGTCATCATTGCCACAGGCGCCAACGCCCGCCGTCTGAACCTGCCCGGCGAGGAGACCTACTGGCAGAACGGAATCAGCGCCTGTGCCGTCTGCGATGGCGCTGTGCCCATCTTCCGCAACAAGCCCCTGTACGTCATTGGCGGTGGTGACTCCGCCGCCGAGGAGGCCATGTTCCTCGCCAAGTACGGCAGCAGCGTGACTGTTCTCGTTCGCAAGGACAAGCTGCGTGCCTCCAAGGTCATGGCTGACCGTCTCCTTTCCCACCCCAAGTGCAAGGTCCGCTTCAACACCGTCGCCACTGAGGTTATCGGTGAGGACAAGCCTAACGGCCTCATGACCCACCTCCGTGTCAAGGATGTTATCTCCAACAAGGAGGAGGTTGTTGAGGCCAACGGTCTCTTCTACGCTGTTGGCCACGACCCCGCCAATGCTCTTGTTAAGGGCCAGGTTGAGCTCGATGACGAAGGATACATCGTCACCAAGCCCGGTACCAGCTTCACTAACGTCGAGGGTGTCTTCGCCTGCGGTGATGTTCAGGATAAGCGTTACCGCCAGGCTATCACCAGTGCCGGTATGTTCATACTCCGTTGTTTCCGTTATATTAACTGCATCCGCTAACTCAATATTCTACCAGGATCTGGCTGTGTCGCCGCCCTTGAAGCCGAGAAGTTCCTCTCTGAGACCGAGACTCACGAGGCAAAGCCCGTGCTCTAAATACATATACATCTCTTCCCCCACTTTTCTCTCATATTTTTCGTGATACATGACAACATGATGTTTGGCCCATGTATCGAGGATTCTGCTTGCTAGACTTATATCTGTTTTATGCGATATCTTATTTCAAAATTCCCCTTGCATATTTCGATGGGATTTTTTTACGTCTTTTTTTTCTTTTTCTTGTTCCCTGTTCCCTTTGCCCATGACTTATGGAAGAGGAAATCAAGTGGTCTTTGTGGTTTTACATCAGTTGGTCTGCTTGGGATGCCTATACCCATAGAGCTAGAAATAGAAAAAGAGAAGCTCCCATATCATTCCATACAAAAATCCCTTGTCTACATAAGATCATTTGAATTAAAACTATCATTCATTCATATTAAGGCTAAAATGATACTCATAACAACACGTCTCCCACAGAAATTACCTTCTTTCCCCTATGATCTACGCAGAAAGTCTACCGCCATAAAACAGGGATAAACCCTCATTTCTCAGACTTCACAATAGGCACGGCAGTCGTAAACGCAGTAGCAAGCACGGGCACCGACGACGCACTTTCAGCAAGATAGTCCGGCATGACCCACTCATCAAACGGATTCTCTGCACACCAGCGATCCTTAACGACATAAGTCTTCCGTTCCCACTCAGCAATATCAACCTTCCACTTATCCCAAGCCTCGGCATTAGCACGGCGGTTAATCTCCGTCTGCTCGAGGTATGGCTTTTTATCAGCCGGCGTTGCAGAGCGCCACATTTGGCCTAGCGCGGCGCGGATCTCGTCGCGTGGAGCCTTTGCGTTGGGGTTATTTGATGCTGCGCGGCGGGCTTCGTCGCATTGGTCGCGGCAGCGTGCCCAGTAGTCTTTTTGGTAGAAGAGGAAAGGGTTCAGGCCTGTTTTTGCGGGGCGTGGTGGTGCGGACCCGAGCTCGGCGTAGATCGTTGTCCATAGGGCTTGGTCGTAGGCGTCGCGGCGGGACTTTTCGGTTGAGGTTGGTTTGCGGGAGGTTGAGGTTGAGGGGGGCTTTGATTCGGTGATTGCTGGGCTTTCGGAGGAGAGGGATGAGCTGCCTCTTATTCTTGTTTTCTTGACGGTTGGGCCGTTTGGCGTGGAGGATTTGCTTCGAGTTACTTTTGACTTCTCCGGGACTAGTGGGTGAGGCATTATGATGGGTCCGGATATCGGGTCGATTATTTCTGATGCTGCGCGAAGGCCGGAAAGGTATGCTCCGTGGACGGTCGCTGGATGAGTTCCGCAGGTGGCTTCGCCGGCGAAGTGGAGGTTGCCGATTGACTGGGCCATCAGGTCGTAGTCGTCTGGGAAGGCTGCTGCAGCCACGTAGGAGTAGCTGCCGTATGTGAACGGGTCCTGCCCCCAGCGAGTGATGATAGTCTCTAGGGGATCTGGAACTGTAGTGTGTTTGAAGACATTTCGAAGTTGGCCAGTAACCTCTGTGATTATTACTTCATCTGATGTACATTCTGCTTGGTGGGCTGCATCACCAGCCATGAGGGCGATCAAGCACGGGAGCCCGGTAGTCTTCATGACGTTCCAGAACAAATAGAATCGACCACGGTTTGCCGCGTAGTCTTCTTGGACCATAGAAGCAGGGTTATTCGGCTCACGGAGTAGGCCAAACATATCTCGCTTGGTGTCCCAGAATGGCTCTTTGAACACCAGGATGACCTTGTTCATTATTCCGAATCCGAGTCTGTCAATTGCGCCACGCTTCCAATCTGGAAGAGGAGGCTCGAACTTGATTTTCTGCTGCTTCAGGACCCCAAGGGAACCGGTGAAGATGACATGATCTGCCATGAACTTCTCTCCATCCTCGCACTGGACAACTGCCTTCTGTCTCTTGTTGGACCCATTTGTATCATAAGAGATATCGGTGACAATCTTGCCAGTACGGACATCGAGCTTTTCTGGCAGCATGTACAGCCCGTATGGTAGTTGCTGGTAGCCACCAATGACTTGAGAATGTTCGCCTTCGAACTCGTTTCCAATGTCCTGGTCCCATCCTGATAGGCTAAGTCGGTTCACGTTGGTTGCATTCGCGTACTCTAGGTTGGCGAAATGCCAATTCATCAACCGCATGTCTTTGGTAGTCACCGGAAGCATGTTTTGATATTGTTTGACACCCTCGTCCATCACTGCACCGAGAGTCTGCGCCTGAGATGCCTTAGCAATCTCGTCCAGTTCAATAGTGTCGCTAACGGTGTATCCCGGGTTAAGCGTCCATCCAGTTGTCTGGCAGGTCAAGGCTGCCGGGTCATCATCTGAATTTCCCGCTAGATCACTCGCCACATCGACAGATGGCTCATTTTCCGCAGTCTTGTGCTTTATTCCCCGTCGAACTCGCTTTGTTGGGACCAGTAAGTCTATTGTCCCAGCTGCCCTCGCCTCTTCGTATTGCCGCACAGTGAGTCCGTCATCCACCACCGACTCGCGACCAGCATCGATCATCTCGCGGTTTCCTTCGGCGGTTGGCGCAATCTTTGCTTTGTGACGATAGAATCCGGTTCGATCAAGCAAATCGTTGTAGAGCTTTTCTGCCATCGCATCCTGAACCTCATTCACAGGCGATCCATCAATGTCGTAAATCGTCGAAACATCCCGTATCTTGTGGTAATGAAGTGCCAGCTGGCCACGAACTATCTGGTCCAGTGGGTTACCATGATCGAAGCCGACAATGATCTGAGCACCCATTTCAGCCTTTGGAACAAGCCCATCAGGCAGGGTTTCCGACTTGAGACTGTGCAACGGATGTGAATAAATGCGTCCACCGACTCTTCGACGTCCCTCGAGGACAATGACTCGTGGCAAGGTATTCGAATCACGATACTGGCGGAAAAGACTCTCCAGTTGACGTGCACACCCCAGACCTGCCATTCCAGCACCGATTACAACAATTGTAGGTCCTTCTTTCCGTCTTCCACGTTTGGGTTTCACAGGGGGCAATGGAGCTTCCACGCAGCCATGATTGATGTAGCCATTTCGCGCAAGCCAGTCGTAAGCAAATGAAGCTAGATTCATCCATCGGTAGTCTTTGGCGCATCCGAGTGCCTCTTCCCTGGTAACAGCCACCATGGGATTTCTCCCCCAGAGTAGCAGTATCCCATTGCGTATGTTGAGGTAGATTGTGACGTGAACATGACAAAGATGATCTTGTAAAAATTCTTGTTCCTGTC